CACTTTCTATTCTAGAAATATTTTAAAGGCAATTAGTAATTTCTTTTCTTCAGGTTTCATAAATCTTTTCTGTGCAGGGACTGAAGTCTCTTCTTAATGAGTTATTTTATCTACCTGCATTTTCTTAAGCCTTACGTTTTGGAATAGAGCCTGAATCTGCTTTTCTCCTTCCACAGATCTTAATAATCCCGGCACTGAAGGGAAATTAGAAAGCTCTTTGAGCTTTCCACATCCCGGTTTGCTGCAGACACATTGTGTTCAAGTGGCATTAATTAATTGGATGTATACGACAGCTTCACAGATCTAAGGCAGTACTGCAGTTTCGTAGCTGTTAAAGGATCTTTGAGGGTAGAGAAAGGAGGAGGGCTGAGGAAACAGGGCTGTGAGTGAGGCTGCGTTTTTGTATGAGCCTTCCTGAGTGTCCACTCCATCCTGGAGTGGGTCTGGTAACTGCTGCCTCCAGGCCCAAGGTTGGCTGTTTGTATTCTGAGCTGAGCAGCAGTTGTCCTCTCCTTGATGGCGAGAGTCTGAAAATGCATCTGAATACACATGAGCGTGTACAGACCCCGGTAGTCAGTGAGGTGCCATTCTCCATTCTAATAGTCAGACTCCCCCCCCCATTGTGTAGAGGTATATGTTTGTGCTTTTGGAACATAAGAAACGTGACTCCTGTACAGAGAGAGAATGAGCTACTTTGCGCCGTGTGTCAGGCTCTTTCTGCTCTTCAGTTAAGCGTTCTTGGGTTCTATAGCTGCTTAGACTAGTTTGTTACGCCACCGTTTATACATTTTCATGTGTGAGAGTCATATTGCTAGCACAATGCTTTCAGCGTCCAAACTAACAGCAATGCAGTTTTCCATCACCAAAACCTGAGCCATCTTTGAATTCTTAATGGAGAAGTCTGGTCTAAATCTAGGGCAATGGCGGCTGAGTCATAGATTGAGATTTACGTTTACGAGAGGCAGTTTTAGAAATCGGATAAACAATGCATTCGGTGGTCAGCCACCAGTGAGGAGCCAATGAAGACTATGGAGCCCGTCTTGGGTAGCCTGTGCAGCATGAGAAAACGCCTGACAGTTCAGCTGCGTCCCTGAAAACTGATGTCAAATGCGAGAAGTCCTGCTGCTCTGGAATCAGTCCAGCGCAGAGCAGCCTGACACATGCCTGGGCTCAGAGGGATGCCCTGCACTGAGAAATGGAATATGTTTAACGTTGGACGGGGATGGCGGTGAAGGGCCTTGATTCGGTTCGGCTCTGAGTAGGCAACTCCACCCAGCGGACTTCTTCACAGTCAACCACGAAACACGAACCAGGAGACACAAGGCGAAGCTACTGAATATGGAAGAGCATTTAAGCCGAGAGGAGGAGGTGCTTGTTCACCTGGATGGTTGTGGGAGTCTGGAACGAGGTAATCGGCCATGTTGTTGAAACCAATACCCCTGCTTTCAGTGAACCAGCTGGGCAAGATCTTCGGATTGTCTGGTTGCTAAAAGCCAAATAAGCTGAATGACCGATTTTGTCATATGGACTTACTATGTTTGTAATGACTCTTATGTATAAATGAGTCAGAGTGTATTTATTTTGTTTGGATGCTTAACAATAATAATTCCTTACACTTGTATAGTGCTTTTATGGACACTCCACTCAAAGCGCTTTACAGGTAAGGGGGACTCCCCTCCACCACTACCAGTATAGCCCCAGCTGGATGATGCGACAGCAGCTTGTTGTATCCTCTAGACTGTAAAGCGTGAGTGCTTTGGAAGCCGAAGACCCTTCCTCGTCTGCTGGTCTGGCCTTTGTCTCTGTGTTGCCTTCTCTAGAACAGTCCTGTATATTTTCTGGGTCCTGAAGACACAGGCCGGGTTCTGGAAACTGGAGCCTAGAAACCAAATAGCCTTGTATGAGCTTTTAGGAGGCCACCAGCCTCTCTCGATTGGATTTGTCTGCGTTCTTTGGTGAAATAATTGAAGTGACACTGTGGTGTAGTGTGTGAGGCCCTTCCTGTGGGTGCTAATGGACTTGTCAAAACCACAAAGATGGCATCGATCTGAAGCTGTTGACCGACACAGCGGGGGCAGTGTGCTCGCCAACTTCCATTGCATTTTCTCTCAAGGCTCAGCATGTGCTCATTGCTAGTGTCTTTTACTGGCTGGCTACATTATTGACGCAAAAGTATTCTGAACTCCTCTGAAGTCTAATAGCTGTTGCATGGGTCCTCCATATCCTCCAGTGGTTATTAATACAGAGTTTCAGTAATATTTCCTTGCAAAGCTGCTTTGTTCCTCTTCTGTATGTGACAAACAAGATTCGCTCAGAGAATGTGAAATACCTATCTTGAGATCAGAGCTGCAGTTCAGTGCTTCATTATCAGTAAAGCAACGGTCTTAAGTCGGGCGCAGGTGCGAATGTACAGCAGAAGTATTTTGGGATTCACCGAGTCCTCGCTTGTTTGATGGACAAAGCCGACGTTTGTTCCGCTAATATGCACAGCACTGCCAGACCTGCACACTTGTCAGGGATAAAGAGAAATCCACATATTCAAGCTTAAAATGTGTTGTACCTTAACTGCCTTCTAACATCTGGAAGGTTGCAGCAGTGTTTTTATAACTGTAAAAAACTCTAAAAAGCATAAAGTTCTTCTGACATCTAAAATACATGCTTTGTGCCAATAATAAATACTTTTTTTCTTTATTTGGAGTGACAGTGTGCATGTGGTATCTATTGCTGACTGCACCACCAGCTGTGTATCTTTTGCTGAATAGCATTTTGGTTTCATTTCTTCTGTACTAATTTGGCTTTGTCTGTCTACCCTGAAATACTTGAATCTATCTGGGGGTCGGACTGCTCAGTTATTACGGATCAAAAGATGGTGGCGGGAAAAGAAGATCCATTATTTTAAAGCTGTCATATGGAGACATAAACCAGACCTGGGGAGTGAAAAGAGCCTGAACTCCTGGCCCCCTGGGGCAGGGTCCTGTGGTTTTCCTGTTCCGAGATTGACCTCCGTCTGATAGACCGGAGTGCTCTCCGGTCTGCCCGGCGCTGTTCTATCCCAGCAGTGTGGGAGCGGTGTGCAGACCCGACACGCAGACACCCGAATCCCGCGCTCTCCTCCAGGCCCGGCTCAGGCCCAGGCCCCTGCTCAGACCACCGGTCTTGCTTTGTGTGCCCGTGAGTCCAGCTCTGACCTCGGGAATCTGCCGTCTTGAGCAGCACGTGTTCATGTGATTTCACGCCAGCGCTCGGGGGCCGTGTCGTTCCTCCCAGTGCCAGCCGTGAGAGCAGGGAGAAGCCGTTGTTGGCGCTGGAGACGAGAGGCTGTGGGGCTGTTGCAAAGGGCCACAGTTCTGTAGGTCTGCTGGCACACCTGCTTTGTTTCAGTCCCCTTTGCCCACTTGAAATTCCACTGAGTACTGGTCGAGTTA